CTTTGTTATTACACTAGAACATGGCTATAATCCAATTTCCCAAAAGGGAGAATTTATTATAAACCAGTCTCGTCTTGAGCCACATCAAGGGAGGAGTCACTTGTTAAAGAATGTAAATTAGTAGCATTGTCCCCAATTACAATGATTTTTAGCAAGGCCAGGATTTGAGAGCTATAGTTAATTAGAAATTAAGCTTTACTTGACACCTGTTCTAAAAATTTTTTCTTCTGCTACCCGAATTACCTGCTTAGTCGTCTTCTCCTACTGAGTGAATGCCACTGAATCAAGGAAGGACTCTTCGTGTCTTGGTGACCAGCTACATATTCCACTAACTTCTCCCACTGAAGCCAAATCCTCAACCTAGCCTTTAAGACAGCTCAGCATAAGGGTAAACTAAGAGCATAGGTTTGGGAGTCAATGTAGTAGTGTAGTAGTTCCCTTATATGTAAGATGAGGATAATAGTACCTTCCTTATAGAGTTAAGAAAATTTGATGAGATAATGCTTGTATAGTAAGCACTCAATAAATGATAGCGTTTGCCATCAATATTTAGCAATGTTCAACCTTTGTTATCAGTACTCATCTTCCCCTACTCATCTCATATATCCATTCCTTCATTATGCCCCTAAATGCCTCCCATCAAGGCAACTGACTTACCTCCTTCCCTTATCCAGCTAACTCCTGACTTAATTTCTGTATCTCATGTAATTCTTCTAGGGTGGAGGCAGTTTATAAGCACTGTATAATGTTTACTGTTTATAAACCTCTCCTATAAATGTATTAATTCAACATCTTACAAGCCTTACACTGGGTTAGGAGCAGAGGATAAAAGGAATATAAGCAAAGGTGCCTGTTTCTAAGGGAGTTCTACCTTAGTGATAAAAATATGTGGACAGGCCGGGCTAGGAGTGTAATCCTAGCACTCTGGGAGACCGAGGCGGGCGGACTGTTTGAGCTCAGGAGTTTGAGACTAGCCTGAGCAAGAGCGAGACTCCGTCTCTACTAAAAATAGAAGGAAATTAGCTGGACAACTAAAAATATACAGAAAAAATTAGCCGGGCATGGTGGTGCATGCCTGTAGTCCCAGCTACTTGGGAGGCTGAGGCAGGAGGATTGCTTGAGCCCAGGAGTTTGAGGTTGCTGTGAGCTAGGCTGATGCCACGGCACTCTAACCCAGGCAACAGAGTGAGACTCTGTCTCAAAAAAAAAAAAAAAAATAAGTGGACAAATAATGGCAATATAACCAATGACACAGAGGCATGCAGAAAGGGCTTTCAGAAGTGTGCACAGTTTACTTTCACAGGCATGGCAAAACAGTTTCACCCTGCAGATCCACTGATAGATTCCTGGAACTATGTTGAGAAAGATACTGAAGTTCAGTCCAGGTTCCGCATTAAAGAGTATTGTGATTAACAACGTTTGCCATGGAACTTGCAGTACACATGCCTGGTACAACACAAAGAGGGTGGAGCTTAGAATCAGACAGACAGAAGTCTTAAAGTCAGTTATCAGCTCTGTGATCTTGGCCAAGTTCCTTAACTTCCGAGTCTCAACTTCCTCAGCCGTAACTTGGAAATGGATGCGAACTGTCTCACAGGTGGTTGCAAGGCTTTAATGAGATAACGTTTGTAAAGTACCTGGCAAAGCCAGGACTCCACAAACATTGGCTTCCTTTTTCTTCAGAAGCACTATTCAGCATGAACATGGCCGTCAAGTTCAGTTGTTAGGTGACTCACTGAGGTCACTGATCTCCAAAGAAGCAAATCAGGCTTACATTTTGACTCCAGAGCCACAAACTGTCCCCAAAACGCCCATACCTGATTTTCCGCAAATACCAAGGGTTGAGACCATTCAAATCACTTGAGAATTATCTGTCCTTGAGTTATCGAATTACATACACAGGACAGCATTCCTCTCCACGCAGTCTTTTCCATTCAACCAGCAGTCAGTAAGTGGCCTCTATGTGCCAATCTCACACGCAAACTGCTGCTTTCAACCAAAACGCTCTACCACTCCTCTGTGCTACTTAAATCTAACCTCACTACAGAGGGAAACCTCCCTTCTATCTAGTAAACTTTCCTGTGTCTACCTCAGCCTCACCATTCTGACTAACTCTATAACCTGTTACCACTTACATCTTCAACTTGGAGTACAGCAAAGCCCTTCACACAGATTTGGATCACTACCTAGCAAACCCACATTGTAGTTAAAATGCAACTGCACTATACACTTGGGAACCCCGATCCTGGTCATCTGCCATCACAATCCACGGTCTGTGCAAACTACAGGACATTTAATTCTTCAAACAATTTAACACTTGCATGATTCTTATATGGAGTCAGATGTAGACTTCTATGCCAAGACTACTGTTCATTTGCCAGATGATCATAGGATGGTTTTTGATCTGCTAGTTCTCATTTTTAAAATGAAGATAATGCTTATTTATATCATAAGGCAGTTCTGAAATTAAACAATATATTCAAAACACTTAGAATAGTGTCAGCCACATGACAGGTAATAATAATTACAAATATTTCCATAAAGCTTAATACATGCTTTACTTATGTTAAGTAGTTTGTTTATGTTAACTCAATCTTCGTAACACCTGAGGTAGGCATCATCACCATTCCCATTTTATGAGTGGGGAAGCTGAGGCACTGAGATATTAAGAGACTCAAAACTGTGAAACCAAAACAAAATTACCAATTCAACTTAAAAATGAATTTCAATAAAATTCAAAATTATTTGACTGATCTTCTGCTAAAACTAAACCACTACTAGATTTACAAATATAGTACTGACCTCTATGGCTATGACACAAATTCTTTTTAGGTTAAGTACTTCCTGTATGGCTGTGTGCTGGGTGAGGATTCAATTCTCACTTCAGCTTTCTTTTACAAGTACTGTGAAGCCACCATGAAACTTTCTTTCCTATAGTGAACTGGGAAGTCATTTGGCACTAATATATTGCATGGTGTCTGTTCTGTTCTTATTAGCCAAAGACAATTAGTAGTACTGTTGGCACAATGAGATTGTAAACAAAAAAGCAAGAAACCCAATATCCTTTGCAAATGATTCACAGTGTACTTCTATTGGTTCTTCCTCTATGACTTACAACAATAAAATTTTTAACAATCAGAAATTGTGCCTGGCTTCTCCACAATCCAGATTGAGAAACACTCTCCTAAATCAAGATTATTAACCCAGAATCCACAGATTCCTTTTAATTCTGGGAAATCAATAAACTCAGTGCCGTGTAATTTATGTTAGGTACTTAAAAACATTTAGTGAAGGGGTCCAGAGCCTTCCAAAGAGGTCCATGACACCATAACAGAAATCCCCACCTAGGTAATCAAGACCCTAAGGGAGTCTGGGGATCCCCACCCAACAGAACCCAAGAGATGACAGGCAAATACCAGCTCAGGTACAGCGCTTTGAGGAAACCTGTGGATATGAGCCAAGGGAAGAAAGCTGGCCTCTAGGCAAGGCCTAGGAGATACTGCTCAGCTGACTCAGCCCTCTCCTGGAAGAGACTTTCACTGATAGCCATTTCCCCACATATTCAACAAAGTGCACAACTTTGTCTAATTACAAGGAACCTCCCCCAGGTTGGGCTGGGCTTTGTACCAGTATCAGCATGCCTTACCGACAACCCTGCAAGGTATGTTCTATTACGCCCATTTTACAAGATGAAATACTGAGGCCAGAGAATAAAGTTAACTTGCCCAAGGGCATCAAACCAATGGTTACTGGGGCTGAGATGTGAATTTGGGCCCTTCTTGCCATGCTATGCCTCCTCTCCCATAGGGGGCCCTCTCTCGCAGGCTTATTTGATTCATTTCATTTTTGACACAAGAACAATTAGAAACCCAGATCTTCACGGCTATTTAGTGGCAGAGTTGCATGTGAACCCAGGCTTTTAAAACTCATTTATTGTTTTCCCCCTCTCTTCACTCTACACCAACATTCTTGCTGTCATAGAATAAAATACAATTTCCCCAAAATCCAAGTGATTTTGGAATTTCATCAGGACAGGCCTCCAATCAGTACTGCTTTCAGCATAGTACTTACCATTTACCAGTATCAACTTGTATTTGTTGAATACCTTTGGAGGAATTCATTAAAAATTTATAAGAGAAACGTTAGATCAAATCTGCTAATAAATATCAATTGCTCGAGTCAAATTAAATTTTTGTTCCTACAATTGCCACCTTATTCGCTGCTTTCTTTCTTCATTCAATTCACTGATACTGGCTGTCGTCCAACCATGCCCAAGGCACCCAAGCAAGCACTTCGAGTTTCAAAGACTCACGGATGTAGATCCTGCCTCAACGGTAACAATGGCACCAAAAGAGCAAAGGAAACTAGAATACAGAGACAGAACCTTGAGAAACACTGATAAAGTACCGTAGCAATCATGAAGAGCGATGACCCAGGAGGTAGGGGGTGGGGGGGAGAGACCAGAGAATACTCCACAAAATCTGTTGAAGTTGGGTATGCAGTTTTGAAACTATATGCGATACCCCCTTTCAAAATCTATCATCCAACTCTTTCTTCAAAAATTTGAGTCAAACTATAGCCAACTTTGTGGTTGTCCTAGCTGAATTCTTGGCATTTTGTAAGCAGAGCTTTAAAACAGATTAATTCGAAATGTCAAGAATTAAAGAGACTATTTTCAATGCCCGGGTTAAAAAAAAATTATTACCCAAAATAAAAAGATTTTCTGTATCGCAAAGCATTCATAAAGTGAAAATGTGCTTGGTCTGCAGACTGCCAATAAAACAGGTTAAACATTTCGGGTAACCACGTAAACAAATTTCATTCAACAAACGTTCTGGCTTAGAAGCGGTTTGGGGATCCGCCGGCTCGGAAAGCCCCTCCCTCCTCCCTCGGTGGGTGCCTACGTGGAGCTCTTGAATCCGGTTCTGGAACCCAGAATGTGATTTTTAGGACCCGTCGCAGAATTTCACAACCAGGCATTCTTGCATCCCTGTTTGTACCTGAACGGTAGAAAGTTCCGGAAAAAGCCAGGGGTGATCGATTGACCTTTCACTGCGGCTCCTTCAACACTGAAGGTTCGGTGCTTGGTGGGCAGAGACCACCGAACAACGGTGATGCCAGGAGCGCTGCACGGCAGCAAGGGAAGGACTGCGGGCTCGGGGGGCGTAGAAGTCCCCACCTCACCCCCCGGGGACCGAACCCGGGAAGGTCGCCCTCTGCGCGCCCCACACTCCGGGCAGAGGAGACCCCGAGACTCGCACACCCGCCTCTGCCAGCGGAGAGAGAACCGGCCGCTGGAGGAGGGGACCCAAGGCTACTAAGGTGGATTAGCAGCAACGCGAAACTCACGACTCCGCCTCTCCCCCAGAGAAACCGGTATTGAGAAACGTAAAGGTCACTCAGGATTATTTACCTGCCCCGCGGGTGTGGGATCCGAGGCCAGGGCCTGGGCTGCCTCGGGGAGAAGGGCAGGTGTGTTGGGGGAATGTAGAGGGGAAACTGGGGCGCAGGGGGTGAGGAGGCTGGCTGGGGGCACAAATGGGGACCGGGATGGGGATGCCGGAGGAGACGGGGTTGCACCGGCTGGACTGCCGGAGAACCCTGGGAAGCAGTGGGAAACCCCCTCCCCCGGGACCGGCGGGGACGCCCCACCGCCCCTACTCACTCGGGTCGGAGGCGGGAGCACGCACCGCAGGCGGAGCTGGCGAGGCGAGTCGAGGGAGGACGCGAGCAGTCGGAGAGCCACCGAGAGCGCGCGCCCGAGCCTTTTAAATAGCGCATGTGGGCGTGGCCTGAGCCCACCCCGCCCCGCCCCGCCTCGCGGATTCCCGGACCGCTAGGCGGGCTGGGGCGTCGGGGGGAGTAGTGGCCGGGCCGGGGCTGGGGACAGGAGACAAAAGGCAGGACTCCCGCCTCTTCCTGTGGCTTCCCGCCCGCCGCGCATCTTCCCACGTCCTGGGACCTCTCCCGCCGGCCACACCGCGCCCCCCAGCGGGACCCCGCGGTTTCCACGAACCTTGAGGACTTGGAGAGGGGCCTTCCTCACCCACCGGGGAGGCCGGGCGGCGGGGCGGTCCCGCTGGGAAATATCCCCGCAGCCCTGCCTTGGACCTGCCCTCCGCGGGCGCCGGGCCCCCTCCTTCTGGAGGAACAGTCCAAGGTCGGGGCGGGCTCCCGCAAAAAATCGGCCGAACGGGGATTTCCGCCACTCCCTCCCCCCTTGCCTTGTCCTTGTAAGTAAACTCAACGTGATTAACTTCCCTAGTGGACAAATATTCTCTGAGTGGTCCGATCTCCAGCTTCTGGGAATCTGCGACTTTCCTGTTCTTAAATGGCAAAATTCCTCATCTAGACTAAATAAATGACGTTAGGAAAACGCCGCATTCCCGAAGTGTTTTGCTCTTCCCACCACGAGGGCAGGGCACACGTTGCTGAGGGGGAAGAAACGGAAACCTGCGCGCCAAAGGGCCCTGGGTTTTCGATTTGCTGATGTCAGAAAAGCCTGGGATGCCAGTGACATCCAAAGGGACCTAATAACTAAGCTACAGGATGATTTACTGTTTTAGATGAGAAGGAAAATAAACAGTGTAATCTGTATCTGGTTCTAGGCCTTCCAATGACCTCTCCTGCCAGAAGCGGTGGTCGCTGAGACTTGATATTTGGGGGGTGGGGAGCTCTAAAAAGGTGGTAACCAAAATCCCCTCATGCCACAAATGCATGAGCTCTGGTCCAGAGCTTCTCAGCCTCCACAGTAGTGACGTCTTGGGCTGGATAATTCTTTGTTGTGGGGGGCTGTCCTTGCCTTGTAGGAGGCCTCCACTCACTAGATGCCAGTAGTACCCTTCCCCCCACGTTGTGACAATCAAAAATGTCTAGACATTGCCAAATACCCTCTGGGGAGGGAGGGCAGGAAGCATATATCTGCATGACAAAGTGCAGACCTGGCTTATAATATTTGTTTTATTTTATATGCTGGGGCCAATCCAGGATAAACTCATTATAATAGCAGCCTTATTCTCTCCACCAAGGACTGTACAAAAACACATAGTGGTGATTGACACCTCCTGATACTGTGGCAGGAGTCTGGAAGTATTCTTGCCTGCTGTGAGCTTTTCTAAATATGGGCAATAGTTATTTCCGTATCAGCTAATGTAAGTGACTTGACTTCTTAGCCAACGTGAAAATTCTGTTCCTTAGATTCTACATTTTTTTTTTTTTTTTTTAGCTCAGCTACTTATTTTTTCTTGCACAGGTCTGTGTAGTGCTTCTACTAAGTGAAACTAAATCAGTGAATTTCACTGCAGACTGGCTTTCAGTAAACCATTGTCCTTTCTCCTCTACTCTTGAGTTCTTCTCAATGCCTCTCTGTGGAAGGGGCCTCCCACACCTGACCTGTTTGCTTTCTGTCGGGCTCATGCTGTCCCTGAATTCCACAGCTGCATCTCTTATCATTTGAACCTGGGCTTGCTTCTGACCTACAAGTATTTCTGCTGTATGTCCCCATATATATTTGTCTCTATATCTCACAGCAAGTCTGGGGATGACATATACAACATTTGATTTTGAATAAATCTGTTTGTATTTAATTACCAACACTTTAAAAATATTTTTATTTCCCTGTTCTTTGAACACTTCTTTAATCTGTTGACTCTTCCAGTTATAAACATGAGAAGTTCTTTAAGTTTTTTTAGACAGAGTGTGGGCTTTGGAATCAAACAGACATGATTTCAACATACAGCTACCACCTGTTATCTCTGTGAACTTGGGCTAGGTACTTGACCTCTTTACACCTGTTTCTTATCTGTAAAATGGTGATACTACACACTTGTAGAGCTGTTACGAGGATTAAATCAGAGGAGGTATGTAAAATGCCAAGCATGGCGCCTGGCACGTGGTAAATACTGAGTAAGTGATGGTTCTTATGTTAAGCAAGGATATCTTGATATCCTTTTCTGCCTCTTGAGAAAGAAACAAATTGTGCTTTGCTAAGCACTCATCTTGTGGCCTTCTCCAGGGTTTGGTAGTAAGAAGGTGTGCAGTGTTTTCCAAAACAATTAAGAGCCTTCAGTACAAAGCATTTCTGTGCCTGGGGAAGGGTTACTAGAAGAAATTTGTCCTCCTGTAGAAGCATACTCCCTTCTTAATTGCATAAGGTAATAGTCTGTTTGACCCTTTCAACATTGTAATAGGCAAAATTGAAGGTTAAATGTGTCCAGCAGGATGTTTCTTTTTCCCACTCACAATGCATATTATACCTGTAACAACTTCATTTTCTGGAACCCATCAACCAATTTCCAAAGTCTTCTGTCAAGGTGACTGTCCTAAGGCACGTTGAACCAAGGCCACCTTTCTTCATGACCTTGTGCTTCAAGCTTAGATTTTTCAAATATTTTTATTATTTTTATTTCATGCCACTTTTTCTTCACAAAACTCTGAATCAGGTGAGTGTGACTACAAACATAAGGCCTCTTTATTTTATTTTAGGGCAATAATTTCTTCCCAGAAGTCAGCTGGGTTTGGTGGAGAAGAATTTGTTAGCCTAAAAATTTTACTATGAAATAAAAGAAAAAAATTAGTTCTCACTTTGCTAATCCACACACTTAATAATACAAAAAGAAGCAACTGTTCTACTTTAGTTCTTAGCTAAGATTTAGCCTCAGTGGTAGGAATTAAAAATTACTCATACTCTATACTCTATGATGGATTATCTGACAGAGAAAATAGATTACTTATGCTTACATTTTGAAAGGTAAATTAGATTGTTCTTGATATTTTTCATAGTTGCTTTTTTAAGCTTGCCATAAACTCCTACTTCATCATACTTGCTTCATTTCCTAGCTCACTTTCTCGAGTAGGTACGATTTTCCTTCAGTGCTGTTACTTTTAATGACAGTGTTATCTATGTGTTCTTGTTAGGCAGAGTTTTCTAGCGTTTTGAGCTCTGCTTGTGCTTTTTATTATAGCAGAGTTGTTCTAGCATTGCCAGTATAAAAAACACTGTTAACTTTAATCCCCTAGACAGCCCATTTTATCCACCTTATTTTAATCCCTTAAATGCCCTATTTCACTTTTCTTATTTTCAGCTGGTGACATTGCCTTCTTCATTGGCGTTCACAGCCACGAGCCAACATTTGCTCAGCCTTTTTCCACTCTGCCTGGAAGCATCCAGGTTTTCTCCCATGTTTATACTTGCTATCCCTGATCCTGGAGGAGAAGGTGATTCTCCCACTTCTTACCAAAAATATCCACTCTGCTTGGGGTTTTCAATCCATTTCTCGGGCATTCTTTAAAGTTGTGCATCACTTAACAAATGGAGATACATTATGAGAAATGTCTCATTAGGCGATTTTGTTGCTGGGTGAACATCACAGAGTGTACCGACATAAACCTAGATGGTATGGCCTACCACACACCCAGGCTATATGGTATATTCTGTTGCTCCTGCGCTGCAAACATATACAGCAAGTTACTGTACTTGATACTGTAGGCAACTGTAGCACAGTGGTAAATATTTCTGTATCTAAACGTAGAGAAGGTTCAGTAAAAAACATAGCATTACACTCTTATGGGACCACCGTTGTATAAGCAGTCCATTGCTGACTGAAAGTCTTAATGCTGCGCATGGCAGTACTCTCTTGCTCTTGAATTTCTATGTCTCTACTGTTCCCGTTCAGGTGACAAAAATGATCTTTTCCCCATATTTTAAAAAACTGACAAAAATCGGGGGTGGGGGGAGCATGTGACCTAAGCCCATTAAATCAGAGTGAATCTCAGGACTTTGCTAGGGCACTGAGACAGAACCATGCTCACCTGTTCTGGAAGGTGCTACGTGCATAGAAAAGGCCTAGAGTTACTGCCAACATTTTTGCTAGTTGAAAGCGGCTGAGGATGATTTGGCACAGAGAGGAGGACAGAGAAATGGAAGCAGAGCTCTAAACAAGCTACTTACCAAGTTTACCTACCTGGGGGATCCTTTCATTGAGGGAGCAGATGAGTTTCCATTGTTGTTTGATTCATTGTTGTTTGATCCATTTTGAGATAGATTTTCTGTTACCTGCAGTTAGGACTACAAATGGATTGTGGTGGTTTGAAACTATATCCACAAGTTCTTTGATAGTCCTCCTTTTAACAGGTGGAATTTAATTTATTCCCCTCCCCTTCGGTGTGGGCTATTGACTTGCTTCTAGAAAATATTAATAGAATAAGGTGTATGATTATGAGACTGAATCAGAAAAGGTTTTGTGACTTCCTCCTCATTCTTCCCCCTACCTTCTTCTCTTATCCCCTGCCCATCTCTCTCTCTCTCTCTCTCTCTCTGTCTCTACCCCCCACCCCCCACCTGCTGCAGGGAAAGCCAGCTGCCATGTCAGGAGGACACTCAAGCAGCCTATGGAGGGCTCACATGGTGAGGAACAGAGGCCTCTGGCCAACAATCCCAAAGGAGCTGAACCCTTCTGCCAACAAAAATATGAATGAGCTTGGAAGGCGATATTACAGTCCTGTCAAGCCTGGAAATGATTCCAGCCTTGGCTGACACTTTGACTGCAACCTCGTGAGAGGTCCTGAGATTCTCACTGTGGTCATCAGAGAGTTCCTAATTGCCTAACCAATTACCATTTTTTTGGTCCTTACCCTACTTGACCTCTTGGTTATTGGACAACATTGAATAAATATATGATTGTGTAAACATGCACAGAATGAGATAATTTAGTAGGGATACACTTCT